CGTTTAACACAGTGAAAGTTGGCAAATCAAAATGTCAGTCGACACAGATAATGTTATTTTAGGTAGTACCAATGTGACGTAGTTTAAAATTCGATAAAACAGACTTTCTGTCTCATTAGTCTGTTATGAAATCTCAAAGTCTACCTCGCTGCCCATCCTTTGTATGAAATTAAAAAATCGAAATGAATAATTTGACTTTGAAAAAAATACGACAACTCCACCACCCAGCAGCGGGTGATCCAAATCTGTCAAGAATACAGGCTATATTGCCAAAAAAACAACTTTCTGTAACTGGCAACAAAGAACCACCGAACGATTTAAAATTAAAATTGGAACGCTTTTTACTTTTTAATTCTCACATGCCAGCATCCTGGCTGTCATACGCGAGCCTACTTAACGGATACGTTTAATCTGACAGGTCGAGCGCGTCGGATGTTTTGACAGTCAGCCAATTACCTGCCACTTTGTCTGACGGGCTCTGTACGCAATGTTTCACATCCTGCGATTCCTGCGAACCTGGTATTTGGGAGGGAGAGGCATGGATGGATGCTAGATAAATAGGTTATGTATTGTTTGGGAACGTATTATGATTGCTTGTCTCTTTACATTAAGGTTTTAAATGGAAAAATCTAGAATTTTCTAGTAACTAGCAGTTATCTTGTTGGTACAGATTTTTGCTACACCCTCCATTAACAGTCCTTCAGAGTTTACTCATCGCTTCATTATCATTATATCAGCCCAAGTTCACCCACTAGCCACTATTGGGTATTGTCTTTTATGCCATACTTCTTTTTCTCAATCATTTATCCATACGTGTCCAGCAATTCTGACGATACCGTCTACTCCACCAAACGCATTTTTGGAATACCCTTCCTTACCCAATCACTAAAATGTATTTCACTCGCAAGAAAATCCATTCGCCTATGTAACTATGTCAACACTAGGCAGAATTTCATTAGTTTACCTAAAACGCCAATACTTAGTGGCAGTTAGTGGAAGCGTGGGAACGACCAAGTGAATGGTAGTGCTAAATAGCACGTTACCTAATACAAATACTTAAATAACTACATTCGTTCGGTAAAACACGCGATCGTCATTTATGGCGGTTTACTAAAGCAGAGTACACACTGAATTAACTAAAAACGTCAGTTAACTCAAGTAAATAATTATATTATAGTGAACTAAGTGTGGGAGAGCCATGCTTCGGCACGAATGGGCCGGCTCGACCGGAGTGATACCACGGCCTCACAGAAAACCGACGTGAAACAACGCTTGCGTTGTGTTCGTCGTGTGAGTGAGGTTACCGGAGGTCGAATTACCCTTCCCTTCCCCAATCTCCCCAATTCCTGAATCCCCAACGATCCTCAAACTCCTAATCCCCAAAAGGCCTGTAACGAACTTGTAACGCCTCTGGTGTTCCAGGTGTCCATGGGTGACGCCGGTTGCTTACCACCAGGTGATCCGTCTGCACGTTTACCGGCTTATGCCATAAAAAAAAACTACTGTAGGCTGCGGGACGTCGCCGCGACCGCGTACGCAGTTCATAAGGAAGAGTCCCACTGTGACTCGAAACTAATAGAGCTTTTCTCACTATATTCACGTGAGTAAACAGTAATTTTTAGTTAATTTAGTACGTCTCAAGATAATTATCATAACAGCAGACTACACACATTCAATCATGCTTGTCATTGACTATAGCATAACTAGACAATGACGTCTATAATTTCCCCGAATCTGGTGAAAAAGTATGCATGATTTCACGGTTGGCGCAGAAGCTGGGCGATCGAATGCAACGTGGCGCTACTCGCTCGTTCGGTTACTAACAATGTTGTAAGTTGTTCTTTGCCTAGATGACTGGATGTGTGTAGTTAAGTGAAATTATGATACACCCACAACACAGGACAAAATTCTAGTGTGGCCTAATACTTTATTCCGGCAAAGAATCCGGTCTATTAGAAAAAGTTAAGTCCGTAAGATTTGTAGATTGCGCACAACCTTGCCTCACCTTAAAATGACCTGAGGAGGAAATAATCGATATGCCATCCTGGAAATTCCGTTTGAAGCTCGTGTGAAGAAAACAATACCCTTCCTACACTCGCTAAAACAGTTCAATATTATCTTATGAAAGCATACGAAATTGAATCATATTTTCGCTAGCTAAGGGTTGGTTGTTAAATATCTACTAATTAATAAAGTATTTTCCCCAAGTTTAAACAACTTATCAAGGAAAATAAGTACTCATTTTTTTATATATTGTAGGTATTGTACATTACATTAATTTATATAATGTATCGGTAATAAAATAAAAAAACAGATTGATAGATCGTTAACCTTGAATAAAAATTAGTACCTAAAGCAAAAATGTGTTGTTATTTTTTTTCTAAGTATCAATATTATGTAACAGGTACTACCACTTTATTATCACTTAATTTGTACGCGTTATTAACAACAAATAACAAAAGCATATATACGGTCGAATTGAGAACCTCCTCCTATTTTTTGAAGTCGGTTAAAAATTGTCTGATGGGCCTCTAGCATTAACTTTTTCGTTTTTTTAACCCTCTGTAAAATAGAATACCTTTTCCTTTGCCAATAAAATGCTCTCATTTTAAAGGTGACTAAATTGCTTTATATGCGACATGTGTCACCAATTAATGAAATACTTGTATCAGAAAATATTTACTAACAAAATTAAAAAGAAAAGCTCTGTTTCTGTGTTCTCAACTAAGTAATTACTACCTACTTAGGTATTAAACTTATTCTGGTTTAACAAAATAAATATTTAAATCTATGTATTTTAGAGCACAAAATAGTCTAAACTCAAGTCAAAGGTCTAAAAATAGCTCCATATATGAAGCAAAACGGAATATTTCCAAGTACAGCGTTTGAATGGGAATGTGACTGGTCAATCAATGGGGCACTGTGTTGAGTGCAATGTAACATCAACCATAAGAGTAACATGACGTTAATGTGTCAGTAAACTCTGTTATGTCAGCCATTATAAGCTGCGGAAACAAGGAGGTAACATTAATTTATAATTCATATGAAACCTTTTTTTTTGAACCTGAGATGATACTGGCTGGAAACAATATTGGCGCAATGGTTTTTTTTACATTAAATAGGTAAAAACGCTATTGGTCAGTTTAAAATTTCTCTTCACAATGAGAACGCTTCACCTTTTGAGAGAAACATAGGCTGTCATAGGCATATATTAACATAGTTTTTATACTGATATTTAATAAGTAGGTATTATTTAACAGAAATAAAGAGATATCTTTTAAATTTCATACAAGCGAAGTAGCCTGTAGCATGTTATTCCTTACCTATTATTATTTTTGGAAATAAAAAAGGTGTTATACAATAAAAATTGTGTAAATAGTACCTATAAATGTTTTTTTCATGCAAATTATGAACCTTAATTAATTTAAAAGTTGAACTTCACCTACATTGGGTTAGGTACCTATTACATGAATAATAAATTGTGGTAAACAAATCACTTATGTAATATAACCAGCTTTATATAACATTCATGTAATGGACATTTCATTTAAAATATTAAATCCAGGGATGGCTGAAGTTTCATTTTTTAACCCATATATCCCAAGCGGTCATCGGTGACCGTTCTCCACAAAGTAAGTTAAGTTAAGTATAAAACATACAATTTTAAACTCAGTAGTAGCACGGAGTCTGAAATTGTGCCTGGTATATGGCAATAAGCTCACCCCCTATTACATGGGACTCATAACGTAAATAGTGAAAAGTGGGTGTTACATTGTACAATGGCATTAACCCGTTGATATCCATCCCCTAAATTTGGTCATACAAAAGTATTCTCTAAACATTAGAAATAAGGTCTATAATGTAATGTAATATTAGTGGAAAGCGGTCACCGGTGACCGCTTGGGGATTTATGGGTTAAGTGCCGTAACATGCACCTCTGCCTATCTCTTCAGGGATAAAAAGCGTGATGTTATATAGTGTAATAGAATTTCCTTAAAATAATAAATCTAATGAATGCTGTAGGAAGTTTCAGTATTTAGATATAAAACACACACAATTTTAAACTTCAATTTTAAGTTCAAGGTTGTAATGCAGATTGTATCTTGTTCAGTTTGTTCATATTTTGTTTGTATGGCAAATAGTATTCATGTAAGTGAAATGAAATAATTTCAAGGTTAAAATAATGTAATATAATGTTGCCATAGTTTTAAGTTATTTAATTTTTATATTGAAGTTTGTTTTGTTTGGTTGTTATTTTAGTATCATTTATTCATTGATTTGTCAATTTATTAACTATTGTCACTCTCAAAACACTTAATAATGAGATGACTCATAACTTTCTTAGTAGGTAGGTATGTAGGTAAGTATCTAATTACCTCATTATGAAATTCAAATTGGAAATTGCAAGTATTCTGATAAACTAATGACCCATTAATGATTGCATAATACTTATATTCCTATTAATATACAATTTTGAACTTAATTACTATGTAGATTAGGGTTCATTATTGGACAATATGTACTTTTAACATGGTAAAAATTTTATGGTCTATCTAACTAGTTAATGTGTTTTGTTTACATAGTGATGTGATTGTAAATTGTTTTACTGATAAAACGATAAAGAATTGGTTTGAAATTTACATTTTATTTGTACTTAGATAACTCTTTTATATTCATATACTGAAAACATTTTAAAATTCACTGTCACAGCAGTAATTATAATAGTAATTATACCTTTATTATTTAAGCGCGTAAAGTTTCTATGATATTGGTATATGGTTTCATTATTCAAATAAATAATTTAGGTACGAAGTGTAGATCATTAAAATTAAAATTTTTATGTTGATAAATGAAACGTACTAGGTACAATTCGCATGATAATATTGTATACAACTGCCGGTTCCGATAAAAACCAGTTGTATTTGTAAATACCCATGTTTCCCCCAACAAATGTATAAAAATCAATCATAATAAACTAATAATGTCAAGTAAAAACTTACCACAAAATAGAATGGCGAAATCCAAAACAATTTTTCGCAGAATAAACTTAGAATCACGGTCTATCGTGATTGTATTCAAACGAGAATTCGTCTTCCTGTTACCTCCTTCCATTTTAACTTATTGTTGTACTAAACTGTAGTCAGAAATTGATTAAATTCACTATCACTGCGAATATTTTTACGAAACTACGAACGTCAAAACGTAAAATGAAATTTTTGACAATGTCCACACGTCTGACACCCAGCGCATGCGCTCGCAAACTGCCGGCTGCGGGCGGGCTGCGTTCGTTCAGAAACAAAACCCGCGCGTTCGTAGAGCTCGTTACTCTATTCATGTCATTTATTTATTGTTGTTTATGTTAACCGGCTGGCTGTCGCAAGGGTGATCGTTATCATAATCGTATTGTTAACGAGATTTGCACGTGATACTGATAATATTAAGTTAAAGTTTTTTTTTTTTATAATCAATCAATTTTAACCTAAGTAGTGATGAATAAAGAATTTTGTCCAACAATAATTCCCAAAATAGGGTATCTATTACCTAAGTACATATTTAAAATTAATCATGAAATCAAAGTCAAAGTCAAAGCATAAATAGGTGATTAAGTACTAGGTAAAATACTAAGGCTACTTGTACAATGAAACTAAGAACTAGGTGTCTGAAATTATTATTCAATATTTTACATTAAGTCCTTCTATATCAAAGTCAAAGTCAAAATCATTTATTTCAATTAGAACAGAAGGCACTTTGGAACGTCAACAAAAAAAAATAAAACTGAAGCTATTTGCTCATCAAGAGGTGTAAATTCCAATGCAGAAGAACAAGGGAGAAATTCTATAGGTTGGTTGTAGATATGCATGTACCACCCACAACCTAACATCCTTATCAAAAATATTGTAGGCACGTTTGTAATATTTTTAAAAATAATCAAATCTACACCAACATACCTACTTATTTACCTGCTTACAAGCTTCCTCATTCTTTTGTTACGTTCGACAAAAAAAAAGTTTAAAAATGAACTTTCCAAATGAAGCCATAAAAATCATAGAATATTAATTTTCATTCGTAAATTGATTATATTTCACGCGCATGACACTCTGAACATGATATCGCATGACTTATTTTTCTAGTTTCGTAATTCCCGAACGAAGCGTAAAAAATTGGATGCGACAAAGACCTTTTTAATTTTTTTTTTCAAAGTTGAAGGAATGCCGCTGATCGGTAGCCATTCAGACGACACCTGTGTGTTTATTATTATTTATTTATTGCCTTAGAAACCAAGTTTTACTACCTAGTAGGAAATGACGGCATCGTGTTGAGTTGCTACTTAGTAACTTTTTTTCTGTTGAATTTAAAGGGTCAATCAATTGTGTAGAAGGGTTAAGGATTATTAAAAAAAAAATGTAGCTCGACATTATGATTTTCTCCTATGTAGTGGGTGAGTATAGAATAGAAACATACTATATCACACCTCGACACACCATGCAACTATTCCGTGCCAAACCAACCTGCGAGCCGTTGCACAACAGCCGGAGATTGAGCCTTTGCGTTTATCCATGCAGTAAGGGATGATCAGATCATAGTCCAACAGTGAACTAACACGAGCCGTTTAAGTCATCAGCCACGACCGCGCACGCTGCTCAAGAAGAAAAGTCCCTCTGTGACTCGAAACTAGTAGAGCATTTCTCAGTATTTACTAGAGTAGTAAACCGTTATTATTAGTTGATTCAGTGTGTTACGGTAATTATTATATTTATTTATTTAAAATGCTTCATGCACAAAATGTACAAAAAGGTGGACTTAATGCCGCAGGCATTTTCTACCAGTCTGACCTTTGGGTGATGCAGAGAAGAGTAAATGGTAGGTGCAAGAGGCAAGCAGTGATTTTATTTAACAATGAAAGATAAACTAATGATACTATAAAGACATAACATGACAGATATTATAAAGACATAACATCACGCCTTATATCCCCGAAGGGATAGGCAGAGTCCCCTCTGCTGTAATTTAAACATATTACGACATTTAATGCCACTGTAAATGTAAAACCCTTGTAAATGTAAAGCATTGGATTGGAATCCCCAAGGGAAAAGAAAGCGTGGCCGTCCTCGGCAAACCTGGCGTCGCATCGTACTGGCAGAAGCGACGAGCATCGGTATGACGTGGAGTGAGGTGAACCGTGAAGCTCAAGACAGATCGCGATGGAGAACTTCAGTGGACGCCCTCTGCCCCATCTAGGGGACACAGGATATTAAGTCAAGTCAAGTCAAATGTAAAACCCACTTTTCAATATTTATGTTACGAGTCCCATGTAATAGGGGGTGAGCCTATTGCCTTTTACCGGGCACAAATCCAGACTCCGTGTTACTACTGAGATTTTTTCAAAAAACCCAGTAATTCTTTGACCGACCCGGGAATCGAACCCGAGACCCCTCGCCCAGCAGTCGCACTTGCGACCACTCGGCCAACGAGGCAGTTATTACAATGATTATTTTATAGAAACTGACTTCAAAATCCTCTTTATGAGTATGTATGTATATGTATAATGTATATGTTAATCAATATACTAAAGCCTTCTAAGTGTAATAAACACTTTACTGAAAATCGCATCAAAATCGGTTCAGCGAATTGTGAGATAAACGCGCACAAACATACATACAGGTCAAACTGAGAACCTTCGTTTTTCTTGAAGTCAGTTAAACATGAATGAAAGCGTTTTATTTTACGGTTTCATAAATAAAAGTTACGTTTGAGCAATTAAATACAAAAACTACTAACTACATAGTTATTTACCTACTTATTACTGGTATATACGTTGTATCCCTATCAGAGTTCAGACCACCACGGATGGGGCCCAATAGGGCTGATGCCATGCCGATACGGAGTCGCGGAGAACAGTAGTCAGTAAGAGTCTGACACGCCCTCCCGCCTGAACCAAGCGGGAGTACAACCTACTCATTCGATGATTTTCCCCCCTTAAAAATCCCTATCAGAGTCGACCACACATCGTTTCTTTGAAAAATTGACGTGTAAAAGTGCTGTCTTGTGTCCTATTTGCAGAAATAAATTCACTTGATTCACTTGTTTCGTTCGTGTATTTTAATTCATAGAAAGCTTTTTACTATAATTTTATTGCTGTTGAAGTAATTTAATTACCAATCTACTTAAATAAGAATAAAATTTGAAAACATTACAATAATACGTTTAATAAACGTATACTACAATATTGTATGGGTATCTATAATGACTCTTATTTGCACTGAAATAAAACCTAATTTTGTAAAGTAGGTCTAAATGCTTATTGATGTAAACAAGTAGGTACATTACATTATGTATGTACCTACCTAGATATTAAACTTTATTTAATACATTTTATTCATAAATAATTTAATATTTTAACATAATATTATTATTTTCTTTGATCTAGAAAGATAAGGCAAGTGAAATTTCAAAAATGTTAATACCTACACCATAACAGCTGAATATCTTATTACTCGAATGTTAATCCAAAGGATTCTTAGGTTCAATTCCCGTGACAGATAAAGTAAGGAACCTATACCAAAGTAATTAGAATCTCCAATTTCGGGAAAACTCGTTATAACCTACTATAGATTAGTTAATGGTCTCAAACAAGAACGCTACCCAATAATAAGGATCCCGAGCGTACTCAGAAAGCCATCAGACCACCACGGATGGGGCCCAATAGGGCTGATGCCGATACAGAGCCGCGGAGAACGTAAAAGGTTACCGGGGCTCCGGCTCGAAGTGCAGGAGTAGGAACCGGGTGGTTTTTTAGTCAGTAAGAGTCTGACAATCCCTTCCACTTCACCCGCCCGGGGGAAGTAATTCGATGACTTTCCCCCTTTAAAAAACCAACAATAAAGATCATCAATCGAATAAGGAGGTTTAAGTAAAAGTGCACTGTTAGCACAGGGGCTGGACGACCGACAACGGTGGCGTCGCGAGTTCGTTATTGTTACATTATATGCGTGTGATATGAAGGTAATTAAGGTAACACGTAGTTAGTAGGTATATCTTACTAATATTATTAATGCAAAAGTTAATTTGTACATATACAAAGTCTCAAGCTGAGTGTCAGAGATTGAGTTACAAACTTACGTACCTACATACGTTTGTTACTCAAGAAGCTGGTAAAATTATTTGTTTCAATGCAAACACGAATTTACGGAAAATCTGACGCAATGAATTATTTGGTTAAATAGTAAATACATAATGAAGAAAAAGTGAAATGACTTAGCATTTAATGAATTACTTCAAAAAAGTAGGTAATAATAATTTTACATTACACAATGCACAATTACTTTCATGTTTAATAAACTCATTACTTATGTTAAACTTATCCAACGAGTGCAAAACGATTATAGTACTGATTATACTTATTAAGAAAGTGGGTAATTATAATATTACAATAAATTAAAAGCTTAATGACCATAAAACCACTGTTGCATAAATTATAATAAGTGTAATTAGCTAATATCCATTTATTTTACAAATTTGTGTAAATCGGCATCTATAGTCAGAATTTTAATTAGATTCCAGATTTGACAATAGCTACTGTCATTTTGTGAAATAATGATACCACATATAATAGTGTAGTGATGAACACAAAAATCGATAAACAATCAGTGTGTATGTTTTATAATAAATGTTACAGAAAGTGACAGGATAGCGATAGCGATGACGGCGACAATTTATAAAATAACTTATTACCATAATACATCTATTTGTTTTATTTGTCACGTTCCTTCATGATTACATTTTTTAATTATTTCACACACAATTATAAAAGAAAAGTCTCAGATCGTTAATTAATCGTCAAAACTAAATTATCGGTTCAGAAATATTTAATTTCCTGATATACTTAGTTTACGTGAGTAAAATTATGAACGAGAAGAATCGATCCAGAAATATTGCATTTCCATATCGAATAAATTCGCAACGTCACTATTTAGTACTTGTCATAACGTTGCAACACTGAAATTGTCAAATCTGGAATCGAATTAAAATTCCGAGTATAGTAATTCCATTTTGAATTGTTACACTGACATCTATGTTCTATTTAGTGAACTACGTATACTACAGTCACTTCTTACGTTTCAAAAAATGCCAATAGATGCCAATAGATGGCGCCTACATAAAACATGTTAGTTAATGATTAAAATACCTAGAGGGCGTTACCGAATGTGTTTAGTATAAAATATTTTATTTTATTTTAGCACGTAGTTTA